ATGAGTGACTCCGGAAACTGCACACGACAGCCCCTGAAGCCGGGGTACGCGCTCCATGTCAGCTGCTGGATTATTATCTGAGAGGCTGGCTGTGGGACTCCTCCGGCAGGGGCTCTGCAGTGGAGGGAGGAGCCTGTGGATGGGCCTCAGATCCTAGATGCTCCCCGAACGTCTCTGAACAGAGAAGGTCCTTAGCTTTTGTCACAGGGCTTCTTAGCCCCCTGAAGCTGGGCCTCCTGGAGCCACGGTGATGGAGCGCCCGCTGGAGGGCCCATCTCCACGCAGGTTTTGTGGGGCCGCCTGCTGCCGCCCGGCTAGGCCAGGACAGGGCGGTGTGGGCAGCCCTGAGGCCTCCACAGACACCCATGTGGGGCCATGTGTGCTCAGGGACAGTGAGTCCTCACTCAGGGGAATTATTTTTAAGGCTGAGATGACACCACACAGTCGCACAGTTGTATCCAAACCAACTCTCTTCCCGGGGATGGGAGGCGCGAAAACAGATTTCAAAGGCAGAGCTTTGAATAAGCAAAACCCAATAAAAATAACGCCTTGAACCCAAATGCTGAATCGCAGCCCCAGGCGCATGCAACCAGCTGACGCCAGCTCTCCCCGGGCGACAGGCATGGGCCACCTAGGGGCGGCCGGGACGTCGTGCAGCTGGGGCCTAGGTGGCCCCCCACACACACACCTGCCCCGCCCCCCGCAGGCCACCTGGTCCAGCCCCGCCCTCCAGGCCTCGCTGGGCCTCCTGCCAGCTCCATCCTGGGGGCTCTGTCAGGCTGGCAGGGTTCTTTGCCCAGTTCTCACCTGCTTCCCCATCTGGCATCGGGAGGTTGGGAGTGTATTGCAAGGGGAGCGACACCCCCAACCCCCGCGGGGAACGTGAACCCGCTCCTGAGAGGCAGCGCAGCTGTGTGACCCCAGGATGGTGGCTGTACCTCTCTGAGCCTCATGTGGACTGGGGGTCATCACAGTCCCTCCTTCATGGGGTAGAGCTTTGGCTCCCTCCATAGCAGTCTTAGCAGTGGGGCAGGAGGGAGGCTGTGGGGGTCTGAGTATGTGGGAGCGTCTGCCCGGAGGGACCCTGCACCACGCAGGTGCCCTGCACGGATGGCCTGGGAGAAGCCCTCTACCACGTCCCAGTTAGATTTTGAAGTGAGGATAGTGAGTGCCATACAGAATGCATGCAAAACCGACATTGCAATGTAAAATGCACGCGTGTACATACTTCCTCATATGTGTGCAAAATAGCTCTGAAAGGTGCCCAGAAACAGGGTACCTACTGTGAGGGGCTGGGCCGGTGGAGGAGGGGGTGGTGGGCTTCCTTCCTCCGATTTCCGGCTGTGCCTCCCACACCTGCTGCAGGCACCAGCTAGCCCCCTGCAGGGGATTTGAAAGTCCTTTAGGAGCATTGCTGGTCCTGCCCTCCTGCCCACACAGACCCAGCTCCCAGGGAACTGCCCTGAGGGAACCGGGAACCCGGGCCTGGGACTTGGGGGCAGGACACAGCCTGCTCCTAGGCGAGTCTGTTACTGCCTCCAACAGCCCCTCCTGGGCCCGCCGGCCAGCCTCCATTTGCCACAGTTTAACGTCTGTGACCAGGACCAGCTACACGATTTGCAAGGGCTCAGGGTAAAATGAAAACAGGGCCCTTGTTCAGAATCAATTATGAATTTCAAGGTGACGCCAGCAGAGCCTTAAACCCACGGCAGGGCCCTCTGGGCAGGCGTCACACACCTGTGAAGCCAGCCCCTCCCCTCACCCTCCCCAAGCCCTGCGCTCCCTGAGTCAGGAATGCGGTCTGTCTTTTTCACAGGGACCAGCACAGAGCCTGGTACACAGTAGGTGCTCAATAAATGTCCTGGGAATGAATGAAGGCGAAGAAATAGAACCGGTGCTGTTGGGGTCCAAGTGCCACCATTCAGGAGGGGCCCAGAGCCCGGCCTCCTGGGTGCCATCCCTGCTTACGGCTCAGACTCTGCCCAAAGCTGGGCTGATGGGCCCAATGGCCCAATGACATCACCAGGGCCACCCCCTTCCTGAGCCTGCTTAGGGGGACGCTGAGGCTCCTGGGGCTGCCTGGAGGCGGCAGCATATATTGCTGCCCTAGAGGGACTGGGTGGCTTTGACAAGAGCCCCCGGAAGGTGCAGACCACCCCTCATTTAGGGCTGGGACTGACGGCAGGACCCAAAGAGGCAGG